CCCTGCTCAGTCCCCAGAATCTCCCAGCCCCACTGATTCCCCAACATCTCCCAGCCCTGCTCTGTCCCTGCAGCCCCCAGCCCCACTCAGTCCTGAGAATCTTCCAGCCCCACTAAATCCGCAGCATCTCCCACCCTTGCTCTGTCCCTGCAGCCCCCAGCCCCACTCAGTCCCCAGAATCTCCCAGCCCCCTGATTCCCCAGCATCTCCCAGCCCTGCTCTGTGCAGCCCCCAGCCCCACTCTCCATCCCTGCTGTCCTCCAGCCCTGCTCAGTCCCTGCTGTCCCCCAGCCCCACTCTCTGTGCTCCCATCCCTCAGCCCCTGTGTCCATCCCTGCTGTTCCCCAGCCCTGCATTCCAAATTTCCCCCACCCCCACGCTCTGTCCCTGGTGTCCCCCAACCCCTCTCTCCCTCCTGCTGTCCCCAGGAGTTGGTGACCTTGGCCAAGTTCATCCTGGGCAAGTTCTTTGCTCTGGCAGCCACCAACAAAAAAGCCTTTGTGGAGCTGCTCTTCTGGAAGAGCCCGGCCATCATCTGCGAGATGACCAAGGGCTACAGCTCCCTGCAGGAGGGAGAGGGGTGAGTGGGGCCAGGGAGGGGGCTGCACTCCCTCCTTCCCTCCCCTCACCTCCCTCCCCTCCCCTCCCCTCCCCTCCCCAGGCCCACCCGGAGCCGAGTGCCCCCCTGGACCCCTCAGGAGGAGCAGGAGCTGCGGGAGCTCTACTGGAAGTACAAGGAGGTGGAAGGTACTGGGGGTCTCTGGGGTCTCAGCAGGACCCCCGGGGGGTGGCAGGGGCTCTGTCCCTGCATCCTCCCTGTCCCACAGGTGGGGACACCATCGCTGCCATCCTGGCCCATCTCCCCACGCCCGGGCGCACGCGGAGGCAGGTGGTGAAGCAGCTGGTGCGGATGGGGCTGGCCAGCAGTGCCAAGGACTTCCCGCGGGAGAGGTGGGTCAGGGACCCCCGGGGACAGGGCAGGGACTCGCCTTCCCGCCGGCCAGGGACCCACAGCTGTTTCCCACCCCGCAGGAAGGGCACCTCCATTGTGCTGTGGACGCAGGAGCAGGAGGAGGAGCTGACGCGGCTCTTTGAGGAGTTCCAGGGCTCGGATGGTGAGCAGGACACGGGGGGCAGACCCCAAAAATCCCCCTGTAGCCCCCCCACCCTAACCCTCCTCCCCACAGACGTCCTGGGGAACATCATGAAGCACCTGACGGCGCGGCGCTCGCGGGCTCGCGTGGTGGAGAAGCTGCTGGGGCTGGGGCTGGTGGCTGAACGCAAGGAGCTGTACAAGAAACGCCGGAGGAAGAGCCAGGGCCCCGGTGTCGGGCAGGTACGGGGGGCTGGAGGCTGCTGGGCTGTGCCCTGGGGGTGCTGTCCCACCCTGGGGGTGCTGTCCCACCCTGGGGGCACCCAAACACTGCTGGCTCCCACAGGCTGACGCAGGCATGCCAGCCGTGCCAGCCCAAGACAGCTCAGGAGAGGATGAGGACAGCGAGGAGGAGGAGGAGGAGGATGAGGATGAAGCAGAGGAAGGCCACGTGGAGGTGCCCCAGGAAGGGGCTGGGCAGGACCTGGCACAGCGCCTGCATCGGGAAGGTGGGCGAGGGAGCCCCGAGCTGGGCTGGGCTGTGGGGCCGGACCCTGTGTCACCTCCTGCTGTCCCCAGGGCTGGCCGGGCCCCTGCGGTGGCTGCAGAACAGCCTGCGGCGGGCGGCGGGGGACCGCCAGGAGGACGGTGAGCGGGGCGGGGGGCGGCCGGGGGGTTCTACGGGGTCGGGGTCCCGCTGACGGCGCTCCCGGCCCAGGCGTGTCCCACCCGGTGCCGCTGGTGCCGCTGACGGAGGAGAACGAGGATGCCATGGAGGACCGGCGCTTCCGGGCCCTGCTGCGGCAGCTGGGGCTGCGGCCCCCCGCCAGCGAGCAGGTGAGGTGCCCACCCGTCCCTGTCCCTATCCGTCCCTGTCCCCATCCATCCCTGTCCCCATCCATCCCTGTCCCCGTCCATCCCTGTCCCCATCCTCGTCCCCATCCATCCATGTCCCCATCCATCCTTGTCCCCATCCCCGTCCCCATTCATCCCTGTCCCCATTCATCCCTGTCCCCATCCCCATTCATTCCTGTCTCCTTCCCTGTCCCCATCCCCATCCCCATCCATCCCTGTCCCCATCCCCATCCATTCCTGTCCCCATCCCTGTCCCCATCCCCATCCATCCCTGTCTCCACCCATCCCTGTCCCCATCCCTGTCCCCATCCCTGTCCCCATCCCCTGGCTCCCAGCACAGCCCTGCCATGTCCCCCCTCTCTGCCCAGGAATCCTTCTGGCGCATCCCGGCCGCCCTCACCCCGCAGCAGCTCCGGCGTGCAGCCGCCTCCATCGCCCACCGGGGCCCCTCGGGGTCCCCCCCGGACCCGTCAGAGCCGCCCAGCTGCCCCCAGGACCCGGCTCCAGGTGAGGGGTGGGGCTGGGGGGGGTGTGGGACCCCCAGGTGTGGGGCTGGCTCTGAGCCCCCCTCCTTGTGCCCCTCAGCAGAGCCGCTACCGGCGGGGCTGGGATCAGACTCGGAGAGGTGAGAGCCGACTTCCCTTCTCCGTTTGTGGGGTCCTGGTTTGGGGGGGTCTTCTCCCTGCCTGGGGAGGGGATTTGGCCCCCCGCATGTGGGGCTGAGCGGTGCCACCCTCTGCAGCGAGGAGCCCGTCCCCGTCCCTGTCCCCAGCCCAGTGCAGCCGCGCACCAAGAGGCGCCGGGAGCTCGCCAGCGAGGACGAGGATGAGGATGGTGGTGGGAGCTCAGGTGGGTTCAGCCCCTCTGCTTGCTTCTGAGGGCTGAGGGTCCTCTAGGTGTCTGCTGGGTCGGGGTTCTGCTGTCCTTGTCCCCTTTACCACACCCCTGGGGGGCTCAGCCCTCTCCCCTCTCCATCCATCCACAGGCACCGAGCTGGCCCCACCAGCTCCCCGCTCCGAGGAGGATGAGGAGGAGGAAGAGGATCCACAGCCCCGGGGGAGGCGGAAGCGCATCCGCTGCTTGGAAGAGGAGGAGGAAGAGGATTGAGTGGCTTCCCATACCCTGCCGGTGCCCAGGCCTTGTGCTGTTTTCTGGGCTTTTTGCAGATTTTGTTGGATTTCTGCAGTTTTTCTAGGGTTTCTACAGGTTTTCTGGGGTTTCTGCAGATTTTCTTCTGCAGGTTTTGATGCTGTTTTTAAAGGCTGCACAAGCAACCAGTTTCTCCACCTTCCCCCACTTCCCCTGGTGTCACCATCTCCCTGTTTTACCCCAAGTTTCCTCTTTTTCCTCAGCTGTTGGGGTTTTTCTCCTTCCTAAAACTTTTTAAATCTGGACAGGGCCTAAATAAATAAAAGTGACTTTTGTCCTCCTTGGGTGTGTGCGGGTCTGCAGGGGGGCTGGGGGCTCGAGCCGCGCTGGGCTCAGGGAGCGCCGGGTCCCTGTCCCGGCGCCGGACGTGTCGCAACTCCCGGATAACAGCGGCTATAAAGCGGTCACGGGGCCGGCGCGGCCGCAGCGGCCGGACGGGGCAGGGACAGCGGCGAGCGGGTGAGCCGGGGCACGGGGGAGCCACGGGGGGCTGCGCCCGCGGGGCTCTGACGGGGCTTTGTCCTTCTCCCACCTCCACAGACCCAGAGCCGCCACCATGGCCCGCGTTCTGCTCTTCCTCCCGCTCCTCATCCTCAGCCGTGCCACGGCCGTGTCCATCATCACCCCTGGGCCGGCTGCCGGTCAGCGGGCGCTGCCGGCGCCGGCGGAGCCCGTCGCGCCGCGGGCACCGGGGGTGCCGTGCCAGACCCTTCTCCCCGACGCCCTGCCCGGCTTCTCGCGGCTGCCGCCGCTGCCCCGCGGCCTGGCCCGTGCCGCCCTGGCGCTGGCGCTGCGCGGGGCCGGCTGTGCCCCCCAGGCCGAGGCCGAGGCGCTGGAGCTGGCTCGGGAGCTGGGGACCCCCGCGGCCGCGGCGCTGCTGCGGGGGCTGGCGCGGGTACCGGGCGCCCGGGCGCCGCGGCCGCTGGCGCTGCTGCTGCTCAGCCTGGCACGGCCGGGGGGCTCCGCCTGCGTGGATCCCACCCAAGCCCGCAGCCCCGCGCCCGGCACGGAGCCCACGCCACGCTTGGGCCAGGCCGGCCGGGAGCTGGCGGGGGTCCGGCCGTGCCGCGGTGCCGCGCGGCGGCGGCGGGAGGACGAGGACGCCTGCAGCCCGGCGGGGGAGCGCGAAGCCCACCGGGTGCTGGACTGGGTGCCGGGAGTCAGCGTCTTCTACAACCTGGGCACCAGCGTCTACTTCGCCTTCCAGGGCTGCGAGGCCGTGGCGTCCACGCGGGCGCTGCAGGCCGCCGAGGAGCTGGGCTACGCCGGGCTGGCCGCGCTCACCGGGGGTCTGGGGGGTCCCGTGGCCTTGGGGGTGCAGCTGGGGCTGCAGCCGGGGCTCAAGGCCGGCGTGCGGGCGCTCGTCGGGTACTTCACCTCGGCCGGGGAGCCCGCGCCGGTGCCCACTGCCCACAGCGGCGCCGTGGTCATCGTCTGAATAAAGGCCACGTGTGGCAGCCGGCGCCGGGTCGCTGTTTGGGGCGGCTGGGGACGGATCGATGCGGGGTCACCCTGGCCTGGGGCAGCCGGACCTCGGGCACGTGGTGGCAGCTGGGCTGGGCCTGTCCCTGTGTCCCTCGGTGGCTCCGTGCCTGTCCCTAAAGCCCCACAGCC